CAGGCGGCCCCCGACTTGTGACGCTATTAGCGCCCAGGGAAGAGTCGCAAGTTGGGGGCGTTGTAACTCAAACCCTCAGTGATGATAGGCACTGTGCGCTGTCATAAATGTGAGCCGAGGATGTAAGTGGGTTTTTTTGGCCCCTTCTGCACTTACAAAATTGGTTGTAAGTGGGGGAGGGGAGGTTGTAACTGGGGCGGGCAGAAGTTGGGAGTTTCCTGTACGCATTTTCGGGTAATGCGAGGAGTGCTTAAATGTGACATAGCTTAGGGCCGTGGTCCCCAACACGGTGCCCGCGGGGGCATTTGTCTGCGCCCGCCAAGTGCTCAGGGCTGGCCTGGCCCCGGGCTGGTCCCCAACACGGTGCCCGCGGCGCTTGAGGGAGTGGGGGGGAGAGAGCGCTAGCACCGGCCCCGGGCGCGCAGCGCTTGGGAGAGGGGGGTTGAGAGAGCGCTAGCCCCGGCCCTGGGCGCGCGGCGCTTGAGGGGAGAGCGCCGGCCCCCGGAATGCAGCTATGGGGGGGCCCCGCCCCCCGGGCGCCCGGCAACCCCAAATGGTTGGGGACCACTGGCTTAGGGCCTCAGCATGTCTCGATCCAGCTCTGTCCACAAGCTCCTGCAAGCATCTCACAAGCCCCACAGAGCAGCAGCAGAGCCCATAGAGCTTAGAAGACAGCATGTGAAAACTCAGAAGCATCTGGTACTGTTCACTGAGAGACCGGTGACTGGGCTAGATGGACTCTGATCTGATCCTCTTGGGCATGCAAGTGAACATTGGTAAAACCCTTGGAAGGTGGAAAATGTTCTCTGGGCGGGGGTAAGTTGTCCATAAGTAGTTACAGTCCTTATGCCCCTGAGACCAATTTGCATCAGTGCCTTAGAGGTGAACAGCTGAAAATAGCATCACCAGCCCTGTGGGACCCTAAATGTGTCTCGGAGGAAAACAGTATCAACCTCTCCTACAAATCCTATTCAATAATTAAAGTGAATATCTGGTGGGAACAGTTAAATACCCAAACAAAAGCTAATAAAAGGAGAAACATTCATAACTGCAGATTCTTGGTGGAGCTGAGGGAAGTGTCTCTGAGTTTCATCTAATCTGGGAGACAACAGGGACTATACGGGGGGATCATTAAGGTTGCACAGAGAGGGTCAGACATGTAAAATTCATGCACTGTTTCACAGGGCTCTGCCTTCCTGTCGCAGAAAGGAGATTTCCTCTCTCAGCCAAGTGGGATTTTGGTGAGTTGCCCCTTTCTGCAATAAAGCCAGTGTTAGGCACTTAAGAGGGTCTCCTGGACGTCTGGGCAGGAATTCATCATCAAGACAAGTGGAAATGTTTAGTATTATCAGAAAGACCAAAGGAGTTACCTGATGAAATTGGAACTACAGGCAGTCCCCGGGTTACATGGATCCGACTTACATCGGATCCCTACTTACAAACGGGGTGAGGCAACCCCGCACTAGCTGCTTCCCCCCAGCAGACCAGGGAGACGCGAAGCTAGCGCCCCGCCCCCCGCAGACCAGGGAGACGCGGAGCGGCTTTTCTCAGCAGACACCTCAGCTTGAGAATAAAGGACTGAGGGAAGTGAGGTCTGCAATAAAGCCAGTGTTAGGCACTTAAGAGGGTCTCCTGGGCGTCTGGGCAGGAATTCACCATCAAGACAAGTGGAAATGTTTAGTATTACCAGAAAGACCAAGGGAGTTACCTGGTGAAATTGGAACTACACATATTTTGGAAAGAGTTTAGAGAAGAGTCATGAGAGATTAGCGCTTTCTATAGATCAGTGGTCACCAAGCCGTAGATCTGGATCTCCTGGTAGATCCTGGAGCCTTTGACAGGGGATCCTGACAGGTTTGGCCAGGAGGCTGTCAAGTACCGGCACTTCATCTGCTCCTCTCCTGCCCCTCATCTTGGAGCTACCCCCCAGCCCTGGGAGCCTCTTGTTTGTCTGCCCCTCATCTTGGAGCTGCCCCCCAGCCCTGGGAGCCTCTTGTTCGCTCTGCAGGCCACAGGAAGAAGGGGGGTGCTGATGTCAGCATGCCCCTCCTTCCACCCTGTACCACATCTCCACAGAACAGAGATGGGGCAGGGATGAAGAGAGTTTGCTGGCTGCTTTTGGGAGGAGTGCATGGCCAAGGGATGGGTGAGCCTGCCTTAGTCCCCGGCACCACCACCCGGAAGCAACATGTGGTAAGCAGTGCCCAGCTGGAGCCTGCATTCCAAACTCCTGCCCCAGTCCTGAACCCCTCCTGCACCTCAAACCTCTGCCTTAGCCCTGAGTCCCCCTGCATTCAAACTCCCTCCCAGAGCCTGCCCCCTGACCCTCCTCCTGCACCTCAACTCCCTGTGCCAGGTTCAGCTCAGAGCCCTTTCCACACTTCAAATCCTTTAACCCAAGATCAGAGTCTGCATCCTCCTCCCCGGCACCCAGCCCTCTGCCCCCAGCCTGATAAATGTGAGTGAGGATGGGGGAGGGAGGGAGGGTGGAGTGAGAAGGGACGGGAAGGAGGCAGGGCAAGGGTGTTTGGGTTTGAGGTGGATCCTGGATTGCATTTTAAATTCAAAACATGATCTCATGCTTTAAAAGGTGGGAGGCCGCGGCTATAGGTGAACCTGGAGTTATGAGTCTCACAGCCTGGAGCTAAAAGTTAAACACTAACGGTGAGTCTGGTTCCATTGAGATCTATGGCAAAACTCCCAAAGCGGCCAGTATTTCACCTTAAATCCATATGCAGGGGCTGAAATCACTGGCCTGATTTCAGAAGTTTCTAGTGCAGGGGTGGGCAAATTCCAGCCCCCGGGCTGGATCCGGTCTGCGGGGTTAGTCCCCGGCGGGCCCCCACCTCTATGTGTACCTGCGCTTCTCTAATCTGATCCACTCAGGCACGTAAGTGAACATTGGTAAAACCCTTAGAAGGTGGGAAACTCCCATTGGCGGGGAATGGCGATCCGTGGCCAACGATCATCTGTGGCCAACGATCATCTGTGGTCATCTGATTCCTGCAGAAGCACAGGTAAACATAGCAGTGGCGGCCCACCTTGGTGGGCTGCTATTTTTTTTTATTGCCCACCCCTGTTCTAGTGACTAGCTAGAATCGTCCTCTAGCCTCTAAGGACGGGTGAGCTCATTTGAATGAAAGAAGAGGGGAGAGTTGCTGAAATCTCCACCTCCCAGGTCCAGAGGCTCACAATGAAGCAGATAGTGATAGAAATGTAGCCGTGTTAGTCTGGGGTAGCTGAAGCAAAATGCAGGACAATGTAGCACTTTAAAGACTAACAAGATGGTTTATTAGATGATGAGCTTTCGTGGGCCAGACCCCCTTCCTCAGATCAAATAGTGGAAGAAAGTAGTCACAGCCATATATACCAAAGGATACAATTAAAAAAAATGAACACATATGAAAAGGACAAATCACATTTCAGAACAGGAGGGGGATGCGGGGGGGGGGGGGGGAGAAAGGAAGGTAAGTGTCTGTGAATTAATGATATTAGAGGTGGGGAGAGTGGGATGTCTGTGAGCTAATGGTATTAGAGGTGATAATTGGGGAAGCTATCTTGGTATGAATGAAGCAGATAGAAATCTTTGTTAAGGGAGAGCGGGGTCTGCATCTCTAAAGCATGTTTCTGGCTTATTAGAAAATGGGAGATGTTAAGTCTCACTGGTGGAGGAGGACCTATAGTAATTCATATTAAAATTAAAATGTGTATTTTAGATCAAGGTGGCCTGCTGAAGAGTTTAAAACATGTCCAATCATTTAAGGCTAAAAATGTATATTCAGATTGTGCCTCTCAAACTTATTTGCACACATTTTTAGCGATCTGATTTTATAATCTTCAGCAACAGTCTATTCTAATATGTGCTTTACTAAGGGAAGTTCTTTGGACAATCATGTTCTGAGTAAACATGACAGTAATGCCCAACTGCTTTTGTCAGTGAATTCAGAACCAGACTATATATCCCGGGCACTTGGCAACTGCCTGATGAAGGTTTCATCACCATGACAATGGGTCTTCAATATTTTCACTGTCATGCTAATAGCTCTGGAAGGATTATTCATTGCTAAATTACTAGCTCCCCTGTGGAGGAAGACACAACAGGCTGCAAAAGGGAGCCTGAAGGAAGAGTCCGATTAGAGCAGTGGCCTTCAACCTTTTTAATCACAAAATCACTTTTTGAATTTAAGTGCGATGTAAGTTCTACCTCAAACCCAAATACCCCTGCCCCACCTCCTTCATGTCCCTTCTCTGAGGCCCTGTCCCTGCTTACTCCATCCTCCCTCACCCCGCCCCATTCTCTCTCCCTTTCCCCAGGCTGGGACAGAGAGTTGGGGTGCAGGCTCTGGTCTTGGGCTAAAGAATTTGGAATGTGAGAAGGACTCTGAGCTGAGCCTGGGTCAGGGAGTTGGGGTGCAGGAGAGGGTTCAGGGTACAGGCTCTGGGAGGGAGCTTGGGTTCAGGAGGCTCAGGGCTGGGTCACGGGCTTGGGGTGCAGGAGGGGGTTCATGACAGGAGCAGTGGTTCAGAGGTGGTTCCAGCTGGACACTGCTTATCTCCGGTGGCTCCTAGGTGGTGGTGCAGGGGGGCTAAGGCAGACTCACCCATGCCCTGGCCCTGCACCACTCTCAAAAACAGCCAGCAAATCCTTCCTTCCCAGGGCCTGTTGTACCCCTTCCATTCTGTGGAGACAGAATACAGGATAGGAGGGGGGCACCCTGACAGCAGTGCCCCCTCCTCTCCCTTCCCTGCTCTGCACTGCTCACAGGATGCTGTTTGGGGGGGGGAGGGGCGAGCTTCAAAGGAGATGCATAGCAGTGGGGGGAGGGGCAGTTTGAAGTGCTGGGCTTGACAATAGCCTTTTGGCCAAACCAGTCAGGATCACAGGCCAGAGGCTCCAAGATCTACCAGTCAATCCCGATCGACGGGTTGTTGACCACTGGATTAGAGTTAGGAAGAAGTGAGGATTGGGCTCTAAGACCTGGTGGAGGCAGGGCCTTCCTTTGCCTCTTATACCACTGCCTGTGTGGGAGGGGCTCCATGGGACTGTGGGAGGGAGTGGAGTAGTGTGGCACCACTGTTGTTAGTGACTTGTGGGACATTTCTGAGGGCAGGACTTTGCGGGGTCTGATGCTGTTAAGGCTGTACATCCCATCAGCGGGTGCACTGTCTGGCTCAACCAAGAGGGAAATCCCTTGCTTAGGACATCTTGGGCTCATTTTGAAAGGCAGGGTAGCACATTGATCTCATGAGAGGCATGTGGCCAGGTCACATAATTCTGTACTCCATCTTGGGGCACCTGTATTTTCCTCTACAATGAAACGTTCCCGCCATAGGTGGAAGCACTAGAAGGCAGCAGTGATCTCGTCAGTGTCTCTGCACTCTCCACCTGAAGGGGAAAAAACCTTGTGTCTGCAAACCTGAGAAACCCAAGCTGTAAAACAAATGCAGCTTCTTCATGAGAATCCACCAGATGGCTTGTAGCATCAAGCAGGGTGAGAAAATGCTACTTTATGGTCCACCTAACTAATGAGTTAAACTTTGTTTGCATTTTTGTTTATCTGCGAGGCAATCTACTTGGATCTGTTTGCTATCCTTTTTTATCATATAACATCTATCTGTTGTAATTAATGAACTTGTTTTGTGTTTTAATCTAAGCCCAGTATGCCCTGTTGGGGAGAAACATCAGCTTGGTTACCACGTGCGTGCATTTTACTCCCCGCATTGAGGAAAGGGAACAATGGGAAATAAATTCATATGGGTTGGAGTATAGGCCAGCAAAGAACAGTACAACTCTGTGGTCCTAGGCTAGGGAGCTGGTGGTTATTATGGTTGGTTCATGCAGTGGCTGGTTGGTGAGCCTGCATGTAAGTGCAGCTGTTTATGTCCCTGCTTATGGGAATGCTTGTGGAGGTGTAGGACTGGGACAGGTCTGCAGCTTCTCCTAGATGCACATTGAAAGACTGAGCCCAGACAGGTGAGTGAGAGGGCTCAGTTTAAACCAATTTTGAGGTATCACCCTGGAGGAACCCCATCACAATTTGCTCGTCAGCTGCTTCAGACTCCCACAATACTCTGCTCTCCTTCTCCCAACCGCACATTGGTCACCAGCATCTCTACCCAGTCATCTCTTGCTCCCACAATTTCCAAGCCACTTCACACTCCCCACAGCTCTTCCCCTACTTGGGGGGAGATGCCTCCATGACACCTGCTCCTTGACGAGGGGTAATCAGTGACTTCGTGTCTCGTCAGTGCAAAATCTCACACATGAGCGACAAATTCCAAGTCAGGTATCTGTGCAGCTTCTCTTGTTACACTCAAATACTCCGAATGGTGCTTCAGTGACTACTACACAGGAGGAGCTGGTAAGCTAAGAATTATGGACACTATAGAATGAGAGCAGAGAACTCTGGGATGTATCAGGTCCTAGATCAATACAGTGTCCATGTGAAGGAGAAACTGGACTGTGCTTGAAACTGTGGGCCACTGGGATACAGACATTAAACCACGGATGCTCTGGGATCATTTGCTAGCCAGCTCTATTAGTCATTAATGGTGAGGGTTGTACACACATTCTTCAGTGTGGATATTTCATGGAGTCAAGTCCTTATTTTTCACCTACAATAATTTCTCCCCAGGGGGCTCAATTCAAATGTCATAGGCAGAAAAAATGTGATCCATTTCCTGAGCCATAAGGTTTCAGGTAAAATGCGTCTAGCTGACATTTCCATAGATACCCAGGTCAAAAGGGACCATTGTGATCACATTGTCCGATGTCCTATATAACATGCTACAGAATTTCCCCGATGTTATTCCTAAAGCAGATATTTCATCCAACCTTGATTTCAAAATGCTCGGTGGTAGACAATCCACCAACACCCTTAGTATATTTTTCCTGTGGTTACTCTCAGGCCATGTCTACACTATTTTGAAATTACTAAATTTGATTTAAGAACTCCCAATTTTACAAATTCATGTCCTCACTATGGGGATGCATCAAAATTAGTCTGAGGAAGGCTCCATTAATATGGACACACTACCTCAGACTTAGAGACCCAGAAAGTACTTTGGGGAGATGCAGGAGGCCTCCCAGAGCACAATAAGTTTGAATTAGTGGCACCAGAGCTTCCACATTACCGTTATTTCTAAATTAGTATTTAGAATTGTGAAAAGAAGGAGTACAGAGTTCGAATTCCGTCACCTGTAATTTAAAAATAACTGGCTTAGTTGTGTGGATACATCACTTATAAATTTGAACTTGGGGTGTTATTCCAGAATAAGTTTTTTCCATTCAAAGGGTATATACATTGCAATTAATAACATGGAGATACAGGCAGTCCCCGAGTTACGCGGATCCGACTTATGTCGGATCCGCAGTTACGAACGGGGCTGTTCCTCTCCCTGGTCTCCAGCAGACCAGGGAGAGGAAGCAAAGTGGCGGAACACGTGGGCAGCGGACAGGGCTGTCCGCTGCCCACGCGCTCCGAGGCTTGGCTCTGCTTTGCCCCCCCCCTCCCCCTGGTCTGCA